ACACTCACACACTCCGCCGAACATAAACCTCCAATACTACCATTGCTTAATCAAACCCACCCACCAAAAAAAAAAATAAAAGAAAATATAAATGAAAATATTTTATACAAAAAATTATTTTGAGATATTATAATTTTAATTATGAAAATTTCATTTTAAAAAAATGGAAAATAATTGGAGAACATGTAATTTTGTTATAAAGAAAAACTATGGAAAACAACTTAAAACTGTTTTTAAATCTTAGTTAAATTTTGGAAAACTGAAAATTTGTTTTCTAGTTTTTCAGATAGAAAATTGACTGATTTGAATACAAAATTCTATTTTCCAGTTTTCTTGAAAAATTTTTTTAGAAAAAGATTTTTCTAGAAAACTACTACAGTTTTCTACAGGTGAACACACCCTTAGCATTTAAAACTCTTGTCTTAACCACAGTTGTTTTTCACTAATTTGGTGAGCCAAAAGAAAGGCTATCTTGCATTACGTAATCTACAGTATTATTTCGGCTCATAAAAGTCTCCAATGAATTAACTACTTTTTTTTTTTTCTCCATAACATTTAGGTATGCAAATAGCGCCACGTGACGAAAATAAAATGTCAAAAAACCAAGTTGTTGATTATTGTTAAATTGGTAGATCCAAAAGATTGACGAAACTTTTTTGGATTTTTTTCTAAAAAAGCAAATACATTACAATAAAAGTTGAAAGTTTTAATTTATGGAAGGGAAAAAAACTTCTTCAAAAATTGGTGTACCCTAGTCAATATTTTTGTTTTTTTAATATAATTAAAAGGTGTAATTTCTTTCAAATTATAGAATTAAATATTGTTAATTCTCTCAATCAAATTGATTAGTCATGAGTCAACATTGGCACAACACAGACAGCATTTCCACAAGACAATAGCATAAAAATGAAAAAAAAAAAAAAAGACCGATCAAATCTTGAAAAGTTTTGATTTTTTGAAGGAAAAATACTGTACAATTTATGTGGTTTACGAAATACAATTCGGTCGTCTTTGTCTTTTTTAAAATAGGTTAAAACATTCTTATATTCTACTTCCATAAGACTATAAAGTTCTTCTATCTAATTTTTAGATTTTTTTCCGTTAAGCAACTTATGAAATGACGAAGATCCCCCTCTTATTTTTAAAAAATAGAGGGACAGATTAATTGTATTTCTCAAACTATAAGACCGTACTGTAATTTTTTTAGTATAATGTTTTGGAATCTCTCTTTCGATCTCTGTGTTTTCTTGTTGATTTAATTAAAATGATACAAAAAATGGACAAAAGAATCTAATAGTATAATAAAAGCAAAACATAGAAATAAATCAATATATTTTTTAAAAAATAAAGACAGACTAATTACATTTCGCTAACTACATAGATTATACTGTAATTTTCCCTTTTTGAATTCATTGTCGTCTTTAGGCATGGCCGGTTCAGTGAACCGCCGGTTCTAGATGTTTAAAATTTTGAACCAGAATCGACCCTTGAACCTCCGGTTCCAGTTCCTGCATGGTTCCGGCGAACCGACGGTTCGAATTACGGTTCCGATTCGATTCCGACATTACGCAAATTTTTAAAAAAATAATAAAATTTATATAATAATATTTAAAATGTTTAAATTTTATTAACTAAATAAATTATCAATAAAATTTTAAAAGAAAAACTTCTATAACTAACTTCGAATTATTATAATATTAAATTTATTTTTGCTATATTCACTAATATAGTAAACTATATGGAATATAAATTAATGAAATGAGTGGAAGTTATTATTTTCAAATACTAAAGAAAAATTATTAAAAAATCAAATGAAGTGAATTTATGAATGGCAAAAATTGAGATTAGAGAAGTTGGAATTGATGTAGAAAATAAAAAATAACATAGATATTCCAAATATTAAAAATTAAGCAATAGAAAATAAATGAAATATGGAGAATTTGAGAGAATTGTGATTAGAGAATAAGAGAAAGAGTTATGATATAATTGGGCTTGATTAATAATCACACTATCATATTTATACATGTTTTTTCATTTATTAGTTTTGGCCAAATTGTCCCCTATAATAGAAAATAAAACAATTAATTTTTGATAATTTAAGTAAATTAAGTAAATAAAAAATAAATGATTAAAATGAATAAAATTTATGTTCCAAAAATAAATAAATTAAACACTATTAATATCAAAAACTATTGGTTACTTCTTTCTTTTACACTTGAAAGCTAATAATGAAAATATACATCCTCTCTAATCTAAATCACACTAAACTCATCACTCGTATCAATTTTTTGTATACAAAATATAAAAAGATCAACAAAAATGTGTATTTTTTACACTTCTACTCTCATAAACCTATCTATAGTACACATATCGCTAACTTCTTTCGCCATAAATCAATATCAACTACATCAAAATCAAGTATATACAATTTTTTTATAAACATTTTCAAGAACATCATTTAAATCAAATCAACTACAATCAAATCAAGTAATATAAATTTTTTTATAAAAATTTTAAGCAACAATTTTTTTGTGCATCCGGTTCGAACCAGACTGGAATCGCTGGTTAACCACCGGTTCCGGACCGATTCCGATTCATATTTTAAGATTCACATGAACTTTAATCGGTACTTGAACCGCCGGTTTCGATTCAAAATTATGAACCAGCGATTTTAGTCCGATTTCAATTCATTTACAGTACGGTTCGGTTCTGATTATGGCCATGCCTAGTGGTCTTTAGTTAGCAAAAATTGTTGGCAACCTTTCTTATCAGTTGGGCAGTTGGATTGGAAATAAGTGCTTGACTTGGGGACACAATTATTGGAGGCGTTTATCAAATCATCTAAACCGCCTTAGCCCATTCAAATTGATTTGAAACCGCAGTTTTAAAAAATTGAAAATTTTAGTTAGTTTTGTAAAATAAAAAATCGAGCTTTTGATTTGATTTATGTTTTTAGGATTAAAATCATCCAAATTGAATCAAACATATATGTGTGTGTACGTGTGCATTTTTTAAGTTTTTAAATTCAATTCAATTTCTTGAATGAAATTTTTCTTTGTATTAATTAATATATATTGGATAGTAAATTATGAAATTAATTTATATCAATAATGGTTGAACAATAATTTTATATTAATTAAATAAATTATATAATTATTTTATAAAAAAGTTTAAATATTAAATATTCATGAAAAATTAGATTAATATATATGTAAAAATTTTATGTTAGCAAAACTATAGTTTTTTATAATTTTTCAGTAATAAATACAAAAATAAATCATAATTTAGATTTTACATTTATAAATTGCTTAACCAATGTTTATTGAATATATAATTTTTTTTTTGGTAAATCATCCGATATCCAGAACTTTGGACATTGCTTAATGGATCCAGCGCCTCATCCCACTGGACCAACTGGTAGTTGGTAATATAAACCATTTTTTAAAACATACTAAGAATAAATATATAAAAAATTAATTTAAAAATTTTCAATAGCTATTTGAAATCATGTGTACTATATAGCATAATTTGAATTATTTTATTCCCTATATTTAGTATAATGTTATTTTTTTTTATTAACTAGATGAATGATGAAATTTAATTTTTCTTCTAAATTAAATCGCCAAGAAAGATTTAATTTAGTTTGAAATTTGATAATTTTATTTGGTTTTAATATTTTTCAAGCTACCATTTTAAGTTTTTGATTCGATTATTATATTTAAATTGAATAAAACTGATCGACGAGCAGCCCTAATAAATATTATGACCTGGGCTTTTTTTTTTCCACAACGATGACTTTGTCTTCTTTTTGGAAACTGCATTGAGACTCTTGAATTCTAATTAAAAGGCATTCTAGTCAACAATATAAATATCAATAGTACTATTAGACATCAACAATGACCATTGACCTGGAATTTTGAAATATTTTTATGAGTTATATTAAATTTATTTTCATGGAAAAAAACAGATAATTCACACTGAAAATATTAGAAATTTTATAAAGGAAAAATAAATTCTTCTGTGATTTAATTGAAAGTTTATTATTAAAAACTTAATGAACAAATTAAGAATTAAATTTATTGATCAATTAGGCTAATTCTTTGATAGATAAGTGTGATTTTCAATTAGTGTACTGACTTATTAGTACCATTAATATAATTTACTTGTTAGATAGAGCTCATCAGTGACTACTTTTTCTTTTTCATCCTTTTGTAATTTAATTATAAATAAATCAGCGAATTTGTAAATTTCAATTTTATTTAGACAAATTAACTAGCAATATTTTTTTTTTGAAATAGTAAGATAATACATATAGAATTACATCAAACAAAATCTTTAATATAAAATCCCTAAATATCATGAAAAACAATCTGCTGATATTTGTGCAAAAAGAAAGCAGTAATAACGCGTTTGATATGAGTGGTTCAATACTTTTATCCCTTAACACTTAAGTAAATTACGAAATAGCAATCAATAAATTGTATTCTGCATTTTATCCTAATCGTGTTTCTTAAACTATTAAATGGATATAGCCCCTAATTACTCCGTCCACAGGACAGAGAGAAAAAAAAAAGAAATCAATAAAATTTTCTTTTCTCAGTGTAAAAAAATTAAGGAATATATTTGGATCATCATGTTCTAGGTTCGTGCATGCATCAAGACAGATTAATTTAAGATTAGTTTGTTTTTAGTACTTACATGAGGTATTCAAACTCGTGTTCGTTTAACGGTCCATAAACCTGTCTAATTTTCGTTCGGGGGGGGGGGGGAGTTGGTGTTGCGGAAGATCAAACCTGTGATCTTAACTATGGTAATCAACCCGGCAGATGTTTTTTTGCCACTGAATTATCCTATTCGGATTAATTAAATATAATTATGGATAAATAAAAATAAGAAAAGTATAATTTTTATATATTTATAGCAGTCAACTATGGTTAGACATTGTTTATAAACAAATTGAAAGCAGCCAGATTGACTGGACTTTTTTTGTAGAACGGCAAGCAAAAACAGAATAAGAAAAGGTCGTGTTATGCAATTCTCCGTTCTATAGAATTATTTTTCTTATTTCTCTTCTAACTAAGTTCTATATATAAAACTAAAACTCCGACATTACAATCATCAATCTTCTCTGCAATCTTCAAATTAACAAGCAAAGAAAAAGAAACCATGGCCGCCTCTTCCGCCTTTGCTGCTGTTGCCAAGAGGTAAACGACCCATCTCTTCTTCTTCTTCTTTTGTATAGTTGTCATCACCATCACTTCTTTATGACATTTTTTATTCCTGCAGACTACAAGGCAAAGTTGCCTTAATAACCGGAGGAGCTAGTGGGATCGGCGAGGCAACTGCAAGACTTTTTGCTAGACATGGCGCCAAGGTTCTCATCGCCGATGTCCAAAACAAGTTGGGTCAATCCTTATCGGAGGAAATCCGGTCAGAAACCGGACAACCTGTATCATACATCCAGTGCGATGTAACTCAAGAAACCGATGTCGAAAACGCAGTAAACACTGCCGTTTCAATGCACGGAAAGCTTGATATAATGTACAACAATGCAGGAATTATAGGAAAATTTGATCCCAATATTTTATCACTGGAACGCGAAGATTTTAAAAGTGTGATGGACATAAATTTGTACGGTGCATTTTTAGGAGCCAAACACGCCGCAAGAGTAATGGTTCCAGAAAAGAAAGGGAATATCCTTTTCACAGCAAGTGTTGCTGCTGTAACTTATGGTGGGACTCCATTACCTTACGCAGCATCAAAACATGCAGTTGTTGGGTTAACAAAGAATTTAGCAGTTGAATTAGGAAAATATGGCATTAGGGTGAATTGCATTTCACCTGCTGGAATACCAACACCTATGGCTGCCAAAATAATGGGGGCGGATATAAAAACTGTGCAAGAAGTATCAATGGCTGTGGCAAATCTAAAAGGAGTGAAGATTGAAGCTGATGATGTTGCTGAGGCTGCATTATATCTTGGAAGTGAAGAGTCTAAGTTCGTTAGCGGATTGAATCTTGTTGTTGATGGAGGTCATTCTTTAAGGCATTCAGATTTTGGTTTTGAAGATAAATAAGTCTTAATTAAGGTTTAATTACACTTAATAAGTCTTAATTAAGGTCACACAAGGTGATGATTTTTTTTTTTTTGGGTTAAATTTGTATTGATCAAGGAAGAGATTTGTTTCGTTGTTGGTGAAATTCAAAACCTTATGTGATTCTTGAAGTGTTTTATTTTTGTTATTGTAGTAATAACAACGATAATTGGAATAAATGTATTACCTGGCTCTTCTGTCCAAATGATATTCAAAAAAAAAAAAAATTAAATTGTGTTTATTTATACTTCTAATTTCCCTTATTAATTATTTTAAATGGTAAATTTTCTATATTTCTTTAATTAAATATAACAATTTTCTTATCAAGTTCATTGACTGAAAGGGTTCGGAGAGTTTAAACAAATGAGACCACAAAAATTCATTTGAAAGAGATTTACGCTTTAGCTCCTCTCACTATCTCAAGTATGGGTGCGCATTTGGTGATTTCAGTCAATTTAATTAATATTTTTAACAAAAATAAATTAATTGATATTTTTTTAATTAATAACTCAACCGAATTGATTTTTTAATCAAAATTAATTGAATCATTTTGGCCGAATTAATTTCGATTATTAGTGTTGAGATTCAATTGAAATAAAAACTAACCGAAATTATTAAAAGTTAAAAAAAATTAAACTGAAATATTTTTAATTGTTATTATTTACTTAATCAAAAACGATATAATTGGGAGTAAATTAATTTGATTAATTTGGTTAGATTAATTTTTAATCAAACCTTTAATCAATTATCCAAAATCTAATTTTTTTTGAACCGGACCATTAATTGAACAATTTTTCACTGAATCGAATTGATCCAACCGAATACTTACCTTAATATGAAGGACTTTTTGTCTTTAACATTTCACTATTTTCTGATTTTTTTTTTTTTTTGAAATAGGTTATTTTCTTATACTTGTTTACCTTTTATATAATGAGGTAAGCATTATTGATTATTTGACTATATTAAGTAAATGTCACCGTTACTATTCATTATTTTTGTTATTGCCATATTGCTGACTTTTGAAACTTCATCGTTTGGTGTGATTGTTTTTAAAAAAAAAAAAAAAAAAAAAAATCTTTGTCATAGGTAATGGAGAATTAATTACTTATACTCACTCTCCCGTCCCAATCTTCCACTATTTTATTAGTGATTAATTATGCGCTAAGTCAATATTATGTTAAGTTCAGACCAATGACCAAGTCGCATTGAATTTGGAATGTATAATACAAACCGTTGCATTCATCATTTCTAATAATTAATACTCCCTCCAAAAAAATAAATCAATTTTTTATTTTCACACATATTAAAAAAGTAATTTTAATTTTTTTATACTTGGACAAAGTCCATAAATCTGACTAATACCGTTTTACCCTTGGAGGCAAAAGGGTTGACCCGAGGGAGTTTGCATCGTGGAGGATTGCACCAATGACCTAAGTCATGGTAATCAACCCTGCAAATGCTCTTTGCCACTGAGCTACCCTATTCGGATTAAAAAGTAGCGATTATTATGGCTAAAACACAATTTTATTTATATAACTTACTTATTATGTTCATCTTAAATAACACATGAGCAATTATTATGTTGAAATAACAAATAAGAATCGACAAGATTTATTGAAAATAAGATAAAATTTAATAATAAGAAATCGACAAGATTTATTGAAAATAAAAGATAAAATTTAAAATAAGGGTATAATTAGAAAATTTAAGGATTAAAATTATAAAATACAAAAAGAAGAAAGTGGACTATATTTCGAGACAAACCAATTGGAAAGATGAGATTATCTTTTTTAAGGACGGGGGGAGTGTAATATAATAATAGTAAGGAAGTGATATTTTTTCTTTAGATTATTATGTTCATCTTAAATAACACATGAGCAATTATTATGTTGAAATAACAAATAAGAATCGACAAGATTTATTGAAAATAAGATAAAATTTAATAAGGGTATAATAGAAAATTTAAGGATTAAATATAATACAAAAGAAGAAAGTGGACTATATTTTGAGACAAACCAAAATGGAAAGATGGATTATCTTTTTAGGACGGAGGGAGTGTAATATAATAATAGTAGGAAGTGATATTTTCTTAGATTCTGGATATCATTTAAATGGCTATACTAATAATTATAGGTAATAATCATTTAGTAATATCTTTCTATAAATTATAATTGCAATAAAATTTAGTTCATAATTTAATTTAGTAATTTTATTAGTTATCTAAAAAATTCATAATCTGATTAATTAATTACTTTATTTTATAAATACTCTATCAAATTTAAAAATTAAATATTTGTAGTGACTCTCAATATAAAAAATAAAACCACGAAATATGATAGTAATTAATTATAATATTAAAAATATTTTATAAAGAAACTTTAAAAATTTTCAATTAATTTTGTCATACTTTTCTACTTCAATAATTTGATTATTGTTTGAATGTTTTGGCATCGAACGAAATTGACCGCTGAATTGTATGTTATGATCACATCATGTCAATATCTGATACGTTCGACATGTGGAAAATTTTTAAAGAAAGAAAAACCAAATCAACAGACCACTAAATTCTAAAATGGAGGCCGGCCTGGAATTAAAATTACGTACCGTGAATCTACGAGTTATTTGATAATGCAAATTGGATATAGGAAAAAAGTTTTTAAATTTGCTTTTCACTGAAATATACCTATAATGTATTAAATTAGGCGATTTCTAATAATTGAGTTTAAATACAATGGTTTAAAAAAAAAAAGTTTTCATGAATTAAATATTTTTTTTTTTTTTCAAAAGAAGGTTAGTCAAGTTAACCTTCTAGAAATCAGTCGGAATTTCATTATGGTTCTGTTTCGAGTCTTTCGTTTGCTCATTTTTATTTCTTGGAGTAATAATAACAAGTTGGTATCACAGTAACTTATTTTTTAAAAAATAATTAATTTTCCTTTTGTAATTAAGAATATTTTAAGATCAATTCATAAGCATCAAAACTATATATTTTTTCCAGATAATTTTAAAGATACATTCAAAAATATTATCTTTCTTAAGGTGCTTTAGAATAAACTAAACTTCCTTCTCCAAAAAACAAAGAATAAAATAAACTTTAACTGATAAAGGAGAAGAACTTGCATCTTGACGAAATTGATTAATACATTTCTACTAATTGTCAAAATACTAATATTATATTATAGTATTAATTATATTCCACTGCCATTTACGACGTAGAGACACACACTGATAAGACCCGAAGCCTATCAGAGGAATTTCTTTATTCCAATTCTCTTTAAGCTCTCCCTATAAATGACTATTCTCAACTTGAAGCTCCTCTAATGTTTGCATATTCTTGTTTCTGCAAACCAAATTCGATCATGGCCACTCTTGCCAAGAGGTACATATTCTTTCTTTTCTTTCTTTTTATTTTTAATTTCCTCTTTTTTTGTAAAATTTCTTTCTGTAAAATTAAAACGAGAAAGGTACTAAATTACAATTTTTTGACATTGGAATATATATTCTTTAATTAATTAAACCCTTTATTTTATAAGTTACCGGCATCATTATATTTCTATAATCAATCGCTACCATCTACAGTTTTATTTTGTAATTATATATTTAGCTCCGACCAAAATTTTTTTAACTTGCAATCCTATAATTAAGGTTGTCAAAATTGCTTTTTTAACCAGAATTAATGGAAGGATTTATTAAATTACATCTCAAATTATAAAATCATAAAATTTATGGAATGAAATATAATTGCTTTTTTGCTCTAAACGATGAACTCATCCATTTTATAACATGAAATTAAAACATCATATTATATTTAATTTCCCAATGTAACAAAATAGAATTAAAAAAAAAAAAAAACATGATGCATAATATCTGGGTTACATATATTGTTCTTACGTGACATAAATTCTACAATTTTTTCTCTTTATTTATTTTTTAAAAAGTATATATTGGAGGAATTAAAATTCTAAAGAACTGTACTATTATCTGTACAGGTTACAAGGCAAGGTAGCCTTGATAACCGGCGGCGCAAGTGGAATCGGAGAAGCCACCGCAAGACTCTTTGCCAGGCAAGGAGCGAAAGTTGTAATTACAGATATCCAATCCGATTTGGGTCACTCTGTATCAAACCAAATCGAATCAGAATCCAACCAACCAGTATCCTACATTCATTGCGACGTATCAAAAGAATCCGATGTCCAAAACGCAGTAAACGCTGCCGTTTCAATGCACGGCCACCTTGATATAATGTTTAACAATGCAGGAATTACAGGAAACTACAATCCAAGCATATTATCCATTGAACGTGAAGATTTTAAGAAGGTTATGGATATAAATGTTTATGGCGGATTATTAGGAGCCAAACACGCCGCAAGAGTAATGATACCAGAAAAGAAAGGAGCTATTCTGTTTACTTCAAGTGTTGCAGCAGTTACTTATGGTGGTGTACCGCATGCTTATACGACGTCGAAGCATGCAATTGTTGGGTTAACCAAGAATTTAGCTGTAGAGTTAGGGAAATATGGGATAAGGGTTAATTGTATTTCTCCGGCGGCGGTAGCCACCCCTTCCGTTGTTAAAGCTTTGGGTATGGATGAAAAGCAAATAGAGGAATTTAATTTGGCAATAGCAAATTTAAAAGGAGTAAAAGTAGATGCGAATGACATGGCAGAGGCAGCTTTGTATCTTGCGAGTGGAGAGTCTAAGTTTGTCAGTGGATTGAATCTTGTTGTTGATGGAGGTTTTAGCTTGAGACAATCTGGTTATGGGATTGATAAGTCTTGATTTAGTATTTACTTTTCTTGAATTTGTCTTTTCTTTGAAGTTCTGAAAAGGGGTAAATTAAGGTCCAAATAAGTATGATTATGATCTTAATACAATTTTCTATATTTAATAAATATGTCTAATATTTTTTCTCTCTTTATTTGCAAATGTATTTTTATGTTCGAGAATATTTATGTATATCCCTCTGCATTAAATTTTGAACTCTTGACCATTAGGTAAAGTTAAAAACGATTTACATTTCAAACTCATGATCCTATAGGTAAAAGTGATATGATAGTACAATCTATTTTTGTTAATCCAACTGATTATAGTTTCTTGATGAAGTAATTAACTGTATTTTAATATTTTCTCCATTCCATTTTGTTAGCTTTTTATTCCTTTTTTAAATGTCCTAAAATATTTATAATGTTTGTAAATTTAGATATATAAATAATTATTTTTGAGAACATTACAGTAAAATCTTTATATTTTACAAAATACAATTACCGTCTCTGTCTTTTAGAAAATAAATTAAAATGTTTTTATAATTTACTTCAGTCATACTATAAGATCATTTCGTCTAAATTTTGCATCTTTTCCATTAAGTACATTATAAAATGACGAAAATACTCATTTTGTTTTTAAAAACACAGAGACAAACTAATTGTATTTTTCAAACCATAGGGGCTGCACTATAATTTTTCTAGTATAATATTTTAGTATCTCTCATTCGACCTCTGTATTTTCTTGTTAACTTAACAGAAAAAATACAAAAATTGAAACTTAATAGTGTAACAGAAGCAAAATATAAAAACAAATTAGTATACTTTAAAAAAAATAGGGACGGATTAGTTGTATTTCACAAATCACAAGGATCGCATTGTAATTTTTTCTTTTTTTTTTTTTCAAAATAACATCTATGATTTTTTTTTTTTCAAAATAACATTTATGATTAGTATACATTTAATTATGCGATAACATATTTCTCACAAACCAATACCATATGTAATCACATAATGCAGCATCTTCCATGTACCCATTAAACTTAACAAGTGGACGACACATGCGGCTTAGTTTTGAAGAAGGAAATTAAGAAAAGTTGTCCAAAATTGTGAAATAGTCAAAGTTCGAACTTTTTCAATAATTTACACTCTCTTTTTAGTCTTTTTATTAAAGAAGGAGGGCATTAACCCATAGAACACTCATTGCACACGCTGCCAAAGGACCCCTAACGCATCTGCTTGAAGCTGCATACGAAGAGCACTTAGAAGGCTACTCCACACCCTTTATTCAATTATGAATCACTACAGAATTTAATAATTAGTTATAAATTTGTTGAATACTTCCCCTGACAAAATAAAATTGATGTCAAAAGAAAATATTAGTGAAACATTATGCAACCAAATTTGGTGACATTTTAACTCATAGCATACTAGCTAAGCTAACAAGAAAACGAAGAATTAATATGATAAATTTTGATTTTACATAGAAGAGAAATAATTGACTGAATTTTATTAATTAGTGCACAATACATACTAAAATTCATATGAAATTGATCAAAATTGTTATGGAAAGTATGAATCTAATAAAAGAAATTGAAGGCCTTAATACAAAAAAGGTTTAGTGCTTTAAAATCTTTGTAGTAACTGGCAAGCTGGCAGCTCCATCAACAAAAAGGTTCAACCCACTTACAAATTTAGAATCATCACTTGCAAGATATAAAGCTGCCTCTGCAACATCATCAGCATCTAATTTCACTTCTTTCAAATTTGCCATTTCAGACCCCCATTCTTGCACTTGCTTCGCATCTAAACCCAATGGTTTAGTGATTAAAGCAGTTGGTACAGGACCAGGTGAAATACAATTAACTCTTATACCATATTGCCCTAACTCTACGGCCAAGTTCTTGGTCAAACCAACAACGGCATGTTTTGAAGCTGTGTAAGCATGTTGTGCACCATATAAAGCTGAAGCAAGACTAGCGGTAAATAAAATACAACCTTTCTTTCTTGGGATCATTACCCTTGCAGCGTGTTTGGCTCCTAACACTCCACCATAAACATTTACTTCGAGGACTCGCATGAAATCTTCACGTTCAGCTGACGATATACTAGCGTTTAGACTGCCAGCTATGCCTGCGTTATTGAACATTATATCAAGCTTTCCATACACTGACACAGTTTTATTTATTGCGTTTTCCACTTCTGTTTCATTGACAACGTTACAATCTACGTATATAACTGGTTGTCCAGTTTCTGACCGGATTTTCTCTGCTACAGAATGACCTAACTCAGATTGGATATCGGCGATGACAACTTTGGCACCATGGTGAGCAAAGAGTCTTGCGGTGCTCTCGCCAATGCCACTGGCTCCACCTGTTATTAAAGCTACCTTTCCTTCTAACCTGCATAAGTAATTTCATAAGGAACTAAGACTAACTTGATGGGGCAAGAATTGGAAAAGGAGTTTAATTATATGAAGGAGATAAGAACATGCTTACCTCTTGGTAATAGGAGCAAGCGGGGAAGAGCTTTCCATGATCTTTTAGGCTTAATAATCTGTTTGGACGATGAATAATTATGAGATCCTTCAGTTAGGAGTGTTGCTTCAGCTTTATAATTAAAGAAACGATGATATAGAAATTACTTAATTAGCAATTTTCGCTATCAAAATTTTTGGTAATGAAATTTCATTTAAACACATATGCTATGCTCTGTTATGCAACACCTTTTCACGTACTGTTTACTGGATTGAGGTCAAAATATCACCTCTACTATTTATATTGTTGTTGATACAGTGTTTGCGCTCTTATTTAGAGTTTGAAGAAGTATATTATGAAACGTAACGTCTTTGTGTTCGATAAAATGTTAATTAAACAGTTGATTATAGTTATAAAACATCAAATGATTTTGCTAAAAATAACTAATTTTACCGAATAGATTCATATACAACGTATTGAAAATTAAAATATTATAACAGATTAATTTCATTTCTTTAATTAGAACTAAAATAATATGAGTGAACATTCTATCTATTTGATTTGAACTCAAATGAATCAATATAAATAGAACATATATTGAAATTCTTAAACTTAAAATCATATTAAATTTTAAAAAAAATAGTTTGGAGATTAAGGCTTGATTATTGATATTGTTGTAATCTGAATAAAAGTTGAGTAGTGTATAGAATCGAATCGAATCAGTTCAATTGATTCAATCTTAACAATTTTTGATAGATGTAGGTTTATTTTTTAGGTTTAGAAAAAGTTGAACTTAAAAAAAAAATCAATTTTCTCTATTACAATTAAACTATATAGAATTGATTTTATGAAATATCAAAATGGACTGAATCTTCGATTTGAGAATTCGATTTTCCAAAGTGTGCTCCATATAAGAGTACCCTAAGCGTACAGTCATTTATATAATCGAAACAGATATGGTAAGATTCTGAAAATACCCTGCCCCTAAGTAATTTGCATATAATTTATATATTCTTTTTATGTTTTTTGAATATATTTTTAGTTTTTTTAATATATAAACATTTGCTCCAAAGGTCTTGTATAAGTGCTTTGAATACTTCAATCATAGAACAGAAGACAAAACTAACTACTCATGCTTTTCAAAAATCAAGTTCATTTGAACTTCTGACTTTCTGTAAAAATATAAGGAGCATGAGAAGTGGATGCCATAAATTAAAGTTAGGCGACTGTTCATGATAATAAATCAGAATATAAGTAGAAAGAGAGATAAAATGGCGACAAAGAGAATATAATAATAAAAATAATATTAATTACATACCTTTGAAGTGGATGCTTCAGACTTCAAAGTATCCTTTGCTTCTGCCAGACTTTTCTGAGGATGAAGAAGAACTCTTAGCCCTTCATATTTATAGGCAAATGAATTTCATGTTCTATACTAAAAAGCAAAGGTCATTTTCAAAAATAAAGATTCAGAGAACCAAATATGAAAAGAAAGAAAAACTCTAGATAAAAATTTTCAGTGGATAAATATTAAAAAAATAAGAAAAAAGAAAATTCCATAAGAGAAAATGAAGGGTAAAAAAAAGAAAGGGAAATTTATTATTTAGTCCCTCAGGTTTTACATAATTAACCAACTAATCCCAGATTTTGCCCAAATATCTAGCTAGTCCCTCAGGTTTAACTCTGTATAATTAAAAGGTCTTTCCATTCGAAAAGTTGATTTTTTTCCGTTAATTATAGACTAAAAGACTAAAACACCCCTCCCTAGCTGACGTGGACCATAAGAAAAAATTATTATCTAATCCCTCAGGTTTTACAAAATAATATTAATTACATAACCTTTGAAGTGGATGTTCAGCACCTTCAAGTATCCCTTTGCTTCTGCCAAGACTTTTCCTGGAGGAATTTGAAGAAGAACTCTTAAGCCCTTCATAGTTTATAAGGCAATGAATTTCATGTTCTATACTAAAAAAGCAAGGGTCATTTTCAAAAATAAAGATTCAGGAGAACCAAAATATGAAAAAGAAAGAAAAAACTCTAGATAAAGAATTTTCAGTGATAAATATTAAAAAATGAAGAAAAAAGAAAAATTCCATAAGAGAAAATGAAGGGTAAAATAAAAAGAAGGGAAAATTTATTATTTAGTCCTCAAGGGTTTTTACATAAATTTAACAACTATCCCAGATTTTGCCCACCGATATCTAAGCTAGTCCCTCAGGTTTATACTCTGTATAATTTTTTAACTCCGTCTAATTAAAAGGTCATTCTGTCCGAAAAGTTGGTTTTTTTTCGTTAATTGAAGACTAAAAGACTAAAACACTCCTCCCTAGCTGACGTGGACCATAAGATAAAATTATTATCTAGTCCCTCAAGTTTTACATAATTATCTAACTAATCCCAAGTTTTACACAAATATCTAACTAGTCCCTCGAGTTTAACTCCGTCTAATTGAAAGGTCCTTCCGTCCGAAAGTTAGTTTTTTTCCGTTAATTGAAGACTAAAAGACTAAAAAACCCATCCTTAGCTGACGGGGACCAGTATGAAGCGATAAGGGAGGGAATTGTATAAACTAAAAGACTAAATAATAATTTTCCCTAAAAGACAAATATTTTAGAACAAACTATTTTCTACTTCAAATTGTAAATGATTTTTTTCTTAGAGGATTATATTCAAATTAAGAGTATATTGATTAAGAGTAATATTGTCAAAATTTATTCAATAATTTATTATAATTTATACAAATTTAATAATTTTTTTAAAAGACATGAAATTCTAAATGTGGGGAATATTATAGAATGAAGATAGTAATACCAAAAATCATCATCATAAACATCCTCAATGATATTGATTTTCAATTTTTTTTTCAAGCAAAAAATGAAGTGGGTCTGAGTATGTGGTATTTACCTCAAAACGAAGCTTTAAGACTGTGATTCCACGCAAACGAAGCACTACATGCTACGACCGCTCATTTCAGTTCGTCAATAAACATCATTTTCTACAAAAATTCTTCAACACCTCCATTGGAGATGAAGACGTTTTTTGCGTGAGAGAGTTGGGAGAATAGCAGTCTGACCTTTCATTTCCCTCGCTTGGAAGGTCATACCGGTCCACGTCAGCGAGGAAGGGGTGTTTAAGTCTTTTAGTCTTCAATTAACGGAAAAAAAAACTAACTTTTCAAGAACTGGAGGACCCTTTCAATTAGACGGAGTTAAACCTGAAGGGACTAGTTTTAGATATTTTGCGCAATAACTTGGGATTAGGTTAGATAATTAGTGTAAAACACTGAGGGACTAGATAATAATTTTCCCTTATGGTCACGTCAAGCTAGGGAGAGGGTGTTTTAGTCTTTTATAAGTCTGAAATAAATATAACTGAAAAAAACCACCTTTTCAGACGGAGGGTGTTTTAGTCTTTTAGTCTATAATTAACTGAAAAAAACCAACTTTTCAGACGGAAGGACCTTTTAATTAGACGGGGTTAAACCTGAGAGACTAGCTAGATATTTGGGCAAAATCTGAGATTAGTTGGTTAATTATGTAAAACCTGAGGAACTAAATAATAAATTTCCCAAAAAGAAACGAAGGAGATGGGGAAGGACTAACAGTAAAAAAACTTTTGAGTGGACAAGAATAAAAATGTATAAAAATGTATAAAATAATAAGTGGGAATGAAAAGGAAAAATGATGAGTCCTCAGAAAATGTGGATTCAATTTCAATCAATCCATTCAACACAGCGTGACTCACGGGCTCGCGCCAGCGCCTCACTTGACCTGACCATTCAGATGTGGAATTTGAACCCACTCAGGCTCAGCTTCGCACTCGCAGAACTCGCATTCGCGTGCACATGGACTTTCAAAGCGCAACGTGTACCTTCTTAGACTTGCAATGATGTTGCAACAAAAATAACAAATTAAGAGGAAAAGGAATCAAATATCTCCGCATATTACAAAATTTTGTACAAGTTCATTCGAAAAATCAAAATATAGTGTTTGAAATAAAAAAATATATATTTAAATTCTACAAATTGAATTCTATAGAATTGGGTATACCTAACTTAAATTCTACTAAAATTGATGGAATTTATAAATGAATTTCACAAAATTAACTTTTAAAATATTTATTGACAAAATTATCTTCCACTGTAAACTCAACTATTTTTACTTTTTTTTCTTTGTTATTTATTTTGATTGGAAAATTCCAAATTTAATAACGTTTTTTTTATCCAATAATAACATTAGTTTAGATATATATTTTTTTAAATTTCAAACTAGTAATGACTTTTTTTTCCCTTTTGACGTCGAATAATAACGTTAGTTATTATTACTATGAAATTATAAAAATTGAGTATCAACAATTGTTTTCAAATGCAATTAAAAACAATAATAACATTCTTAATTTTTCAAAATGGCAATTAAAAACAATAATAACATTCTTAATTTTTTTTTAGTTTTCCAAATTAATTACTTAAAAATGCAACCAAAATTTTTTTACAATTAATTAAAAAAATAAATTATTATCATGAATGTTTACTACATAGTTATAACTAAATTAATCTAGCGTGGAAATATTAGTGTACTTATTTATATGAAAATTTATTATTTTATGAGTTTTAATAAAAAATAAAAAGTTATTATATTGTACATAATAAATATAATTGGTATTTATTTATTTATTTTTGTTAAATTATATGTCAAGGGCGTGTTATAAGAAATAGAGACCAATGAATTTTCATTTAAAAGATTTATTCCAAAATATAATTTGTGAAATTTAATTGAAAAATGAATTTTCATTTAAAAATTTATTCCAAATATAATTTTGTGAAATTTAATTGAATTTTTTATTTTAAATTGTAGCATACCAAACATAACAAATTCATTTACAAATGGAATTCTATTTGGAATTCATTTACAACTGAATTCTACAACCGTAATTTATATTCTACAATTATAATTCATTTATTCCAAACGGGCTGTAAAAGGATAAATTCAGAGCCAAACCCTTAAACATGTAAACATTATCTTTCAACATCTCGTGTACGATTCTGAAATGACAAAATCATAAAAACAAAAATCGCTTCAGTCTTTTTTACTCTAATCTCCTCAATCAAACAAATAATTAATCTCCCAAGAAAACATATAACACAATAGAAAAATCTAAAAATATTTTTTTTCAAAAAAAATAAAACAAAGGAAAACAATAAGGAGTAACTATTATTTAATTAGGCGAGATTTTTCATCAATCAATTTACAAATATGAATTTTCAGTAAAAAAACCCAAAAAAAAAATATACACATGCTAATGAAAAAATAAATAAGTAAAAGCAAATCAAATTAAAATTAAACAAAAGAAAAAAGAAATGCACATGTTGAAATAAATCAAGAGAGATTTCATTTTTGCATATTAAAGTATTGGATGGTCAATTATCGCTACAGAAAGAGTTCTTAAGGAATCAAGCTCATGAAACTAGTTAGACAATTCTCTTCTAACAATAACTCCAGGTCGCAATGAATTTGGTGAAAGTAATTGATAGAAAATAGAAATTTTAAGAGATTCAGATAGAGATTTTACATAAGGAGAAAAGAGAATCAAAACAAAGAATATTAAGAATAGTGTGAATGACTCGGAGTTAGCAATCGTTTTGATGGAGATGAGAGTTCTATTTAGAGTGGAGAATAAATATAGAGGAAGATTTTAAGGAGGGCTAGATCACCGATAGCTTTGACAATGATGAAGAAAAATACTTATGAGGCGAATAAAAAGGTAAAATGGGAATAACAAAAAAAGAAATGAGTTAAAGTATCGTATATTGTTTTTGTCAACAATAATTTTTGGTTGCGTTTTAGCATATACGAACACATAATTCGGTGTTATGCGCCGATTAATTATCATAAATTGCATGTTTTTAAATATAATTTTAAAGTCATGTCATAATATAATGAAATATAGTATTACATAATATTATATATGATAATTTATGTTTTTTAACTTCATAAATAATAATTCAATTTATAGGAAACATTATGAATACTATACATGCATAATTATAAGAAGTCATAATAATATTTAATTATTTATACAGCTTTGTAATGCTATTTCTTCAAAATATTTGTCACTGCAAAATATTTTTTTAATCAAATACACTTACAAATTCATGTATGTCTGTTTTTGCTTTAATTGGCACAACTTTATTATAAATTTTTTTACAATACAATTTTATTGTCAACATATAATAATTTTAAAATATTTTGAAAAATAACAACAACAATTAAATGAATTATTAATGAAATTAATTTCATTTTTAATTTATAATTTAAATAATCTTTAAAGACAGTTATATTTATAATTAATTGACTTATATAAATTAAAAAATTTTAATTTGATAAATTTTACTAAAATTTAAGCTATGGCATGAATATAACTAAAGAATAATAAAATAGTTTAAGTGGGAAAATAATGTTGGACAAAA